CTCTCTCTCTCTCTAGGAATTTCTATTACAAATAACTTTCTTTGTGAAGATAACTTGTATTATACCAGGAACAACATAATACTGTTGATATTGCATTTTCTTCATACACAAATTTTTGTGCGCTAAAAATTTGAGTTTTTGAGATACTTCATGAGAAATAATTTTTAATACCCTTTTCTCACAATTGCAAAAATGAATTTAAAAAAAATCATAACCTAAATCTTTAGAATGTGAGTGATATTTTTTAAAAAAAGTATGTAATTTTTAAAAAATCAGAAGAGTACTTGAATATGTCACTGCATTTAGTACTCTCTGAACAAAAAGTATTGAGAAAAAAATTGGAATTAATTTTGGGGAATTGGAGTTCATTCATCTTGTTTTTATATTATCTGTATTTCACTCAAAATTAGGCTAAAACTGCTAATATTTTCAAAACAATCTACATTACATTAATTAATGAACTAGTAATTGTGGCGAACAAATTTCATATGAAGAAAAAAATCCTTTTTTCCATTGTTACATTCTTTTTTCAAGAGGGTAAAAAACCTTCAAACTTTTATAATTTTTGAAAATTTGTAGTTAATAGTGAAAATTGCACCTATATCAGCTTTAAAAGTGTATTTCATTATATTTTTAGAAGAAATTTAAAAATCAAATTTTAAGGTATTTTTGTTTAAAAAAATATCCTAGGGAATCATTGAAGTATTCCCAAATTTCAAAGAATTAGTTTCAAATTCACGTTAATTAGTCACAAATTAGTAGTCACAATCACAAAGAATTAGTCACAAATTCACTTCAAGTTAGGCCACATCGATTAGGAAATATTTGTTTTGTAAATAATCAGATGCATTGTTTTGGTGCTAGGATTGTTTACAGACGGACAGGAGGCAGATGGAACAAATCTGAAAAAATAATTTTTTCCTTATCAAAGGACCCTGAATCCATCAATATCTCAAAATTGATTTACCACAGTATTACATAACTTTCCATAAAGTAGATTACTTCTTATAAACATACATTTTCAAGAAATTAAAAATAATTACAAGATTTTGACTGTCACTATAAAGTATAAACATTTTATTTAAAACATCAAATAGTATGATAAGAGGCATTTCATTATTTTAGTCTCCAACTACATAGATATTACTATGACAGTTAAAGGCAGAAAGTTTGAATTTATAATATCAAGACTAAGAGAAACATTGATGTAAGAAAAAAATACTTATGTATGTTAAACAATACAAATACTAATAGCACACAGGTAACTATCAATTAATTTTTAATATTTATTGTACTTTTGATAGAACAGTTTAAAGATATTTGAAATATATTTGAAAATTGTACTTTCGATGGAACAGTTTAAAGATATTTGAAATATATTTGAAAATTGTACTTATAGGTAATCTAATGTCAACCTTTCAGAACTTCTGGTTCTATCTTCAAAGGCCAAAGTCTTTCTGAAATATGTTTTTTCTCTTTTTTTTTTTCAGCGACATATGCGTCTTCATACTGAGGACAAACCCCACGAGTGTGAGTTTTGCTCATTGGCATTCGCACGAGCCTCTCATCTGGCACGCCACAGACGAACCCACACTGGAGAACGTCCCTTCCGCTGTCCAGCACCATCATGTGAGCGCACTTTCTCGCGACAGGACAAATTGAAGCTGCATACACAGCGAGCTCATCCAGGTTTGCCCTGTGATCTGGTTCAGAGTGGCACTTTCATGCGAATACGTGGCCGACGGCGTATCCGGGACAAGGTATGTGTATAATTGTGAAGGCTCTTAAACTTTATAATAAGTAATAAAAAGGAAGAAAAATTGATGTCATAGATAGTGTGGAAAACATTAAGAACAATAGCTAAAATTTTCCAATATAAAATCTCCTCAACTTTTTTTGTAATATTCATCCAATTTGTCTCTCCTACTACTTAAAGCTGGGCTTATCACATTTTCTCTCTGTAGAGTGAACCTGTTGCATTTGTAAATGCTGAAACTATACGAGAGCTGTTAAATAAAATGGAAGAAATACATTTTTTTCGCGAAAAAAACTCACTTTATTTTTCTAGAATTATGCATTTAGCTCAGCATGTTTCAAATTTTTTCAGGCTGGCAGAAAAATAGATTTTGTCAAACTTTGCAAAATACATGGTTTCCAGACTTATGAAATGACGTATGTTCAATTGAATATCATTCAGCATAACTTGTTGCTATGGTAACAATTCTGTTAAAACTATTCAGTTTCAAATTCATTGGCTCTCACACCCAGTAAACATTATCCTTAAAATTCATAATATTCACACAATGTTTTATAACCCTACATTTTGAATACATTTCAGGTAATACAAAGATTTGCTTTGATTGTTTATAATCCTAGAGCTAACCCACCAAAAATTATGGGATAATAGCAAACTTCCTTAATAGTTTATAATAGTCCATTATAATGAATAGTTGAAAATGATTTAATATCGAACTAAATTTAATTAGACAACACAGAATAAAGAAAACTACCAATTGAAATCAATTTAGGAAAATCTTCCTGGTTTTGCTGAATTCTGCAAGGTCATCCAAACCTCAGACTCACTCCAAAGACCTCTGCTAATCCCTTTCTCATTGCAATAATTGAATTGAAGATATCAAATGGCATTCCAATAGCACTAAATAAGGTAATTTACACAGACCTGGTGGTTTTTAATTTTTTGTGGCTTATACAACAAAACACTTTTCTATTTTGTTACAATGTTCAAACTCAACATTACTATTGAAGGGAAGCAGGAAATTACATTAGAGAAATGCCAGTAATGAAATCAAAGGCTGAACTCCTTGGTAACATTCTTGATGAAACTTTCAAAATATAAGGTCTTTTTTCTGGGGCTTGAAAGTGAATATGCCAAATATTCTTGTTTCCTCTGCTTAAGGATCAGCAGGGCACATGATTAATATGTGAATTGAAAAGAATGGTCAACCAACAAGAATGGAATTTGTTCCAGGCACACACATCATAACAAAGCCCTGGTATCTAGAGAGAAGATTCTGTTACCATTTTTATGTATTAAACTTGAGCTTTTGAAACAATTTATCAAAGCATTACATACCAACAGTGGCTTTGAGTATCCTCACACAAATGTTCCTCATATTATCAAAAGCAAAAGTAAAAGGTGGAATTTTTATTTATTTATACCGTCTGTCACATAATTATTTGCCGACTGTTGTATAATTTTTTTTAAAATTTATTTTTACCAGATATTTGACTGATATTTTTATCTGCAGAACTTAGAAGTGCAATGTTTCTTGATAAACATATGCTTGTGATGCTTTCTGAAATGTAATGCAAGGTTTTTCATTTCCCATCATTCCATCAACCCTTTCTTCAGGTCATTCACATTATGAAAAAATGGTATCAGGAACATCTGAAATATCTTCAATTTTGTAGTTTTGAATTGTTTTTGCAATTTTTGAAAAAATGAGCCTCAAAATGGGACTTGCCCCATATTTCTTACTGTTCTTTATTACATATGTGGAGAAAATTTAAAGAAAAAATTTGGAGCGGTTTTTGAAAATTTTTGTTGTTGTAAATTTCCAACACAAGTTACACAAAAACTTTTCGTTTTTTGAAAAAATTGTACATGCCATTTTTAAGAGGTGCCCGTCAATGGGACTAGCACCAGGTTCTTACTGTCCCCTTATTACGTGTGTGGAAAAAATATAAAGAAAAAATTGGGAGTGGTTTTTGAGAAGAAAAAAATTCATAAATTTCAACCGCAAATTTCCCAAAAACCACTAACTTTTACAAAAAAGTGTACAGGACCTATTTTAAAGGCCTAATTTTGTACAACAGACTTTGTCTGAGCAATAAACCTCTATGTTCAATTTTGTAGTTTTAACCCGTCAATGTGGTGCTGAGGGTGAGCGCGATTGCATTTGAAGGCAGCTTTAAGTGAAAGGTGCGGTCAGCAGCACTGTGGGGGCAGGTAGCAAGCTGAGAGAATCGGAGACCTGCTGCGGGAGCGTCTCGGCTCAGGCAGCGTTGCGCTCCCAAACATGTTCTTTCCTGAGAATGCATTGCTTCACATCTTCAATAATATGATAATCAATGATAATTAAATAATAATGACTTTGAGGAAATGGAAAATTAAAATAACTCTACAACACTTTCATTAATTTACATCAATATTTATTAAGAGTAAAACATAATTAAAAATATGGTACACTAATTTTCTTTACAGATATTTTTAATTATTTTCAGTGGTATGATGGCTTTTAAAACAAGTGTCAGATCAAAGTCCATCTTTCAATCTGGGCACCAGAATGTAGGCTCTCCCATTCTTGAGACATACTACACAATTCTTTGGTGGTTTAATTTTGTCGCCTTGAGGTGAATTCTTTCAAGAAGTGTCATCCTGACAAGGATGTAAATTACTCACTAAACGAGGTGGGCGAACAGGTTTTTTCGGTATGAAGAGTCAACAAAACATGAATTACGGCCACACCGCAAGTTAGAGGACTCTTTTTTTCTAAATTTAGCAACAGGATTTATCTACTTCTTCATTAATAGAACCCGGCAGTACGTTTTTTTGCTGGTGAAATTTCGACCTTTTCTGGCGCACAATTACATAACTTTCTCTTCTTACAAAGAATTTCTAAGGCGAGAATTATAATTAAGATAAACAAAAACTTTGTCAAATTTTGTTACTTAGAGACCAAAAAAAGGATGATTAACTCCTTAATTTTGAGGCGACAACTATTCAAAATTTATGTCAAACCAAAGACAATAGAGTGTATCCAAATTTAGATTAATGATAAATGTTAGGATACAGTTATTGACAATTTTGGAAAAATTACGTAATCATTAAGAAAATTGATTATACATATTTGCTTAATGTTTTGTAAATATAGTAATTTCACTTCTTAATGTTTATTTAATTGAATGAAGATATTATGTATTATTTGTCATTAGATATGTTTAAGTATTAATTATTAGTAATGAATAGGTAAGTAATTGAAATAAGAATTTGTTGCTCTATTAAATAGTCTAGAAATACATTCCATTTACACCACTCTTGGAGTGCTGCACAAGATGTGTATATATTGTTGGGTTCTTGGTAAATGTTGCTAGGGAAGTTGAAGTATGTAGATGAACAAATATACAAAAGAAGGGAAATGTAGTACGGAAGTTGGGAGAGGTAGAAAGGTTGGAAGGGATGAGGAGGAAAAAAGAGTTTCTCCTACAACTAGAATATAAATACTGATTGTTATGGATGTCAGAGCTAATAATTACCTTATGTATTGTTTTGTTTATTTTATAAAGTAGATTATTGTTATTGTAGGTGTTGGATATTTACCTACTTTTTGACTTTGAGTTTGTTTTCAATTGAAGTTTGATGTTTGATTAGTAGTTTGTCTTTATCATTAATTTCAAAATTCTGTAATAAAAATTTAGAAAAATACTTTAGAATATCTCGCATTCAAAATCTGAACCCAATTCAGAATGTTATTTGAAACAGTTTGATGCTTTATATGAAAATTAACTAAAGAACTTTAAAATTTTTCAGAACCTACCTCTGGGCCTTCGGTTGGGCATTGCACCATCTTTACAACCTGCCAACTTGTCTGGTGGTTTGTCAGCAGCATCATCTTCACAGTCTGCGGCACCAGTCGGCCCTGCTGTCATTTCTCTCCCATTTGGTGATACCTCGTACCTCACCTCTTTGTCTTTAGGCCAGCAACGATACAGTGACCTCACCATAAGTCCAGTCACAGCGAGCAGCAGTGGGACCAGTAGCAGTGGCGGTGGTACAGGCAGCGGCACTGGTGCCGAAGAGCTTCTAAAGTCAGTGCGCCAGCTGGGTGAATGTACCATCCAGACATTACCTAGTAAAGTTCTAGCAGAGTGATTTGTGTAGAAGATGTAATGTTAGTCTGCATTCTGGTATGGTCTGTGCACTTGAGACTGGAACAGAAATGTATCCTTGCTTCAGCTGACAGATGGGAAATTTGTTTACTCTCCAGTTAATGTGAGCTAGGTGTTCTGCTGTTTAAATTCCTTTTTTGTGTGTGTTTGTTTCTTTTTATTTTACACTAAACTTTAATTTAATGCCATTCCAACTTTCCTTTGAAGATTTCCTCAAAACCGATAGGAATTTCTAGTTCTTTTTTCATAGTATATCTCAAAAGGAAATCACAATATATTTAAAATTTAAGGAATAAGTTCAAAACCTTAGACTACAAATTGTGGCTTAAATTTCTTAGTGTCAGAAATACTAATTGTAGATTGTTGTGTATGTCAAGAAATTAAAATTTTCATTTTCAGTTTAACTATTAGATTTTCACTTGATGTTTAATGTTGAAATATTTAAATATTATGATGCTTGTCTTATTTTTCTTTACAACAAGTTTTGTGATCAAGACACTGAAGGAATTTAATGTATTTGTTCAAACCAACTGCACTGACCATAAATAAAGGATCAGTCTAATACTACAGATTATTTGGTAGGAAGGAACTATCAAGTTCTAACAGTGTTCTTCATCTACTTTTGTAACATTTGTTAAACTCAACATTTTAACTTTGTAAGTAACTAAACTTATGCACCAGCCAATGGCCGTTAAACATTTTGTTATTTAATGATATCATGAGAAAATGAAGAAATTGATCTTTTGAGTGTTCAGACAGTTGTTTTTAAATCATTGTAAGAGATGGCTCTACGAAATACACTCATGTTCCAATATGAGTTTAAGTTGTTGGGCCAAAAAGATTTTTCTGCCAAAGGCAGAATTCACATAAAAATTTGTGAATTGAGAAGCACTCTTAATAAATAAGAATTTGTGGGTTCTCTATTCAAAGCCTTTGAATGTGATTTCTTGTTTTCATGTAGAATTAATGTTGCAACAACAAAATTGGAAACTCAATAAAAGGAATAAAATTGATACTTAAGATTACTTGAACTTTTGCAGTCATAACACATTGTTTCTCGTTTGCAATTAACTTTTCTTAATTGTTATAGTATTCTGATATGTGTGTGTGAGGAACAGGTGTGCTAAATCATATGCATTTTGAGAAATTGGATCTAATGCAGTGTGATATGCATGTTGCATATTAGTAACTTTTGTTCATTCTGCTTTTTTCTGAATGTTCTTTTCAATATGAAGATTCATATGCAAGATACCTTTATTGTGTTCATGTACAGTGTTGTGCGCTATTTTGTCTTTTACAATTTTCCTTCTGTGTTTTTAATATGAACATTATTCTCTCCTTTAAGATAAATAGAGTTGAAATCAATTTTTCTCTATCTAAGAGGAAAGATAGTATAAAGAGTCTGTTTTTTTTGGGACGTTTGAACAGTCTCCTGTTCTTTTTTTGTAAAAATGCTGACATTTTGATATGTAAATGTTTGGATTTGCATGTGATCACAATTCTCTGTATTTGTGTTTTTATTGGAATTGCTTCTTATTGAGAATAACTATGTGCAAATTTTACATTTTGATTGTCCTCTGGTTTCCAGAATTTTCATGTTAAAAGATTGGTGTTTGGGTTGTGGCTGCAATACTGCTCATTTCTACACAATAGCAAGTAATTGAGTGTTTTATAAATTGACAGATTTAATCGTCAAGTGTAAATACTATGTATTCTTATACCATTGGTACTATTATCCGTCTTCATTTTAAGATAAAATACTCCTGAATCGTGAGCCCAATGTTTTGCTTCTTTGGTGCCGAGATTATTAGCAATTCTCTTTTCTTAAGTTGTAATTTCAGTTTTATGAAATGTTTTTGTGAAGAAAAAAAAAGAAACATTTTAAAACTCCAAATTTTGTTCTTGGTGCATTGCATCAATTAATTATTTCCTCTTGATTCTTTGAAAGATATCTAATATCTTTTAAAAATTATTAATGTTTATTAAGTACAACTTGAAAAGGATATCTTAATGAATTTGTAGGACTAGTCAGAATGTATTTTTCTGTAATGCTATTTGTTGTTTTAGTAATATTGCTTCTGTTTTTGTGTGCTCTCTGGATGAAGATTTGTAATATATGTAAAATTAATTTTCATCAAATAATCTTGTTGCATTGGCACAAGAGAGGTGCGATTTCTTTCTCTTGTGAACAGAATGCCAACCTGAAGATTTTTTGACTAAAAGAGCAATTTATGAATTTTGTTTAGTATTCTCTTGTTCTGTATTTTCAATAAATTCTTAATTTATAAAATGAATTTACATAAATATGTTTGTTGTTGCTAATGCCGAAGTTCTCATTTTGAATGAATTGTTACTTTTGCAAATAGTCTTATGATTAACATCACATTGTGAACTGTTCAGAGAATGCGTTAATTACTTTCACAACAAGAATTGTTAGAAATTTTGGAGGTAAGAATAATTGCTTCTCATATTACTCCCAAACCTCTCAGGTAACTTGCTGTATATCATTATCAGAAGGTTTCTGGTTGTGATGTTGTTTAGAATAACTTTAATAGTACAAGTGTATCCTCTAATATGATCTTGCTGTTGTACAATATGAATGTGTGAACACCAGATTTAAATTTACTAGTCATAAAAAATTTAAATTTACCAACAAGTTGCCTGAAATGTGTTCAGTGTTGTTGCAACTGAAGGCGTTCAAATTTTTATTAGTTTGCAATACAATTTGAGACCAAAGAATGATGTGCATACATTGAAATACATTGTCAGCCTTAGCGAGTTGTAAACGGGTTAGTATTAGTATTTTTCTGTGCCATCAACTAAGGATAGATTTACTTTGTATTTATATAGCTGTAAATGTTTGTTTAGCAGCTTAAATGTTATCATTTCATTGAACCTGAATTGTTCACTATTTTGTAAGCGCTTAATTTTAGGGCTGGATTTATGTGGAATGGTACCTAAGGTATCAGTAAATGAATGTGGAAGAGTACCTGTTGATTGACTTACAATAGATACTGCTGTTTCCTTATATTTTGGAAGCATGTAAGTATTGTGCAATACTTATGTGGAAGCCAAGCATCACATATTCCTGTATTTCATGATACTTTGAGTTCCCATGTAACAAGGCTTTGTAAAGGAAACCTAGAACATTGTGGTTTTCAAGGAATAAATATTGCATGGTGATACACATATTATATTTTGCAATTCATTTCTTTGTGAATTGCAAAGGTGCCTTGTGGGAGCTTAAGATAGATAATAAGTTGAAAGAGTCCAGCCCTGGCTTGTATTTTTTGTAAGCTTTGGTTTGAGCAGTCAGGAAAGATATGTTTCTGGGCATGATCCAGATTTGCTTCTACTGTAAGTTATTCATTTTAGATTGTATTAATAGCCATCATAAGTAAATTTGACTTTGTTGATGTCCAAAAGCAAAAGTTAAGTTGTGTTAGAAATTTATTTTGTTATTAATGAATTTTTAGTTTTTATTAAGATATTAAGAGTTATTTTAAGGAGGTATTGTTTTATTATATTTGACTCATTCATGAAAATGAATGGATATAAGTAGTGAACTTTGCTCGACTGTACACATCTCATGAAAGTCATGAGAAGACACCAGTGCATATGCTATAAACAAGTTTGTATGTATGTGTTTGTTTGTATGTGAGTGTGTTTTCTGCTGTGTAAAATTCAAAATGGTACAAACTTTCACATTATATGTCTCAGTTCAAGACATGGTGGCTTGTTACCATGCTCTGATCTAAATGTATTTTCATGTACAGTGATGTAATTGATTATGTCTTTGTGTTTTGTTTCTTCCTTAAAGACACTAAAATGTTTTCACTCGCACATGGTTGTTTAATATTGTGTGTGTGTGTGTGTG